GTTGTTGTTGAACTCTCATTCTTGAAGAACTACTATTGCTGATCCCCCCCCGGTACACATTATGTTTTTCAGTGGAGGTGCCCTTTCCCGAGGTTCGCACCTTGTTTTTCATCAGGGACAGTCTTCCTGTTCAAACTGGGCCCCTGGCCCCCGAACTACAACAACAACAACAACGGCTCCCGCCTGAAACTTCCTCGCTGTATATTCCCAAATCGCGCCCTCGCGCGGGACGTCCTCACAATGTACGCAGGAGTCGCACTCTTGCTTGGGACCTCCTCGCCATTTTTTCAAATGCTCCGCCCTCGACACTCAGGAATCACGCTCTCGCTCTGGCTTTTCTAATGCTTCATCGGGGGAACGCGCTATCGCTCGAGACTTCCTCGCGATTCATGCAGGACCCACGCTTGAGCAGCCCGCCTGCTCGAACTGGCCGCCTGGGCCCGCCTTGCCGACTCGCCCTGTAGGGTCTGCGGCTCCGATGCGCGAGTCTGGTTCTACCATGTGCTTTCTGATCCTAGCCCCCCTCATGCAAATTTGTCTCGTGCTCCATCCTTCTCCCTCCCACTTCCATCCGTCATCTCTTACCTTGTTTGAAAGGGGCTGCGCTAAATCCACAGGCCAGGTAGGAAAGATTACCCCAAAAGAGGGGACGACCGGAGACGGAGAGGGCGCGTATCGAAGGTTTGGGGTATGCGTGTTGTCTGGCACGCGAGCAGACAGGAACAAACAATCTCAAACTGATGGGTATTGCTGGTGTTGTAAATTTTGTTGAGCGTTGTTGACCCCCCTCCGGTAAACATGGCATGTTTGAATTAAGTTGTTTCCCCCAGGGCTCGCACCGTGTTTCTCTCAAGGAAAAATGCAAAATCACCAAACTGGGCCCGTGGCCCCAGGCTCACAACAACAACAACAACAACAACAACAACAACAACAACGGCTCCCGCCTTATACTTCCTCACAATGGATTCCCAAGTCGCGATCTCGCGCAGGACCTCCTTACAATTAATCAAAGAGTCGCGCTCTCGAGTGGGATTCAGACGCCGTTCCGTCAGCACTCAGAACTCAGGCTCTTGTTGTGGATTTCCGCACGATATATTTGGGAATCGCGCTATCGCTCGAGACTTCCTCGCGACTCATGCAGGACGCAAGCTTCAGCAACCCACCTGCCCCTTGCCCCTTCCTTCAATCCGTCCTCTCTTCCCCTGCCTGAGGGGCTGCACGGAAAAACACATTGCAGGTGAGAAAGATACACCCCGAAGGGGGTACGGTCAAAGACGAAGAGGGCGGGTATCGAGGGTTTGGGATATACGTGTTGACCTTGCACGCGAGCAGATGCGAGCGAATTGTTTTAGCGTGCTTGTTATGTTTGTGGTGGTTGTTATCGTTGTTGTTATTGTTGCTGCTGCTGTTGACGGTGCTGTTGTTGATGTTGTTGTGGTGTTGGTGTTCGTGTTGTTGTTGGTGGTGTTGTTGGTGGTGTTGATGTTGTTCTTGGTGTTGTTGTCGTCGTCCTCGCCTGCGACCCGCCTTCAACCCGCCCGCAACCCACCCCTCGACCCACCCGCGACCCACCCCGCGACCCACCCGCGACCTGCCCGCGACCACAGCGAGACCTTCCCGCGACCCGCCCGCGACCCACCCGAGACCTTACCCGCGCCCGCCCCCTCACTCTTATCCGCAACTGTGGGGTGCTACTTGATTTGCACTGTCGGCACCCTCATCCACTCCTTCCACGTTAAACACCCCACCCGAAGCGAACAGAAGCCGAACACAGCGAAAAACATCGGTATTGATGTTATCATGTATGCCTGGGTCTCTTTCTCCCTACCTTGACCGACGGGTACGCCCAACGGGACAGCGGCTGCTCAACATCGGTCCCCGGACTTCCCGGCCCCGTCCCATAGTCCAGATTTTTTTTTTTTTTTTTTTTTTTCTCTCTCTCTCTCTCTCTCTCTGTTGACCGATGGGGGCAGCTGGGTGAGCCTCCTTCACGGGAGCCTCTGTGGACCCTCGCTGCCATATCATAAACGTGATGTCGACCAGATGCCGTCCAGATTTCGACCGCCCCAGATTCACCCGGCCGTCCAGACTCCGTCGACATGTCGTCCAGAGGTGGACCCGAATGCGACGAAATCTGGGCGATACCCACAAAACCGTAAGGACGTTTGGACCCTCTGCATCTCCCACGAAGGACAGCTCGGGGGTTGCGAAAGGTGCCCCTGGCCCAGGGTGCCCCCAGCTCTCCGCTCCGTCCTGGAGCCCCTCGGGCATCCTGGGCCTCGTCAGGGGTGCGCTGGGGGGCCGTGGGGGCCTCCTTGGACATCCAGGGGGGCACCTTTTGACCAGGGACCGACCGTCCCGGCATTCCTATAGTCCTACCACGACACACTCTTAGAACCCAAAGATGTTCTAAGAACAAAAACAGCGTTCTCAGAACATAAGCCCGATGCGTTTAAACAAGACAGCCTCCGCCAGAAACGTTCTAAGAACATGTCGTGGAAACCTCCAGAAAGGTTCTCAGAACATTGTTGGGTAGGGCTACAGGCGAGCCAGGACGCTTCGCCACTGCTTGAACCTTGGGCCAGGGGCACGCCACTGGCAGCACCCGGACGACCGGAGGAGGAGGAGGAGGAGGCCGCCGAGGGGCCACCGATGGTTGCCCAGGGCCGTCAGCCACTGCCTTGAGGAGGAGGAGGAGGAGGAGGAGGAGGAGGAGGAGGAGGAGGAGGACAGGGAGGAGGAGGAGGAGGAGGAGGAGGAGGAGGAGGAGGAGGAGGAGGAGGAGGAACGAGCGCAGGCCCTGGCCGCCCCGGGGGGCCGCCGCGCCTTGGCGTGCAGCGCGAACGTCGGGCTGTGCGCGCCGCACGAGCTGCCCGGGCGAGCGAGCCGCGGCGGCCTCTGCGCGCGGGCTGCCCGCGCGGGGGGACCGCGCGCGGCCACGGCGCTCGGCGGAGTCCGCCCCCGAGGTGTCTGTGTGCTTGGGGGCCCCCGGGGTCCAGGATTGTGCCTATGGCCTCTCCCAGGTGAGGTGGGAAGAGTGCAAAACAGTCGAATTCGGTCAGTTTGTCTACGTATCTATATATATATAGAGAGAGAGAGAGAGAGCTTATTGCGCCCATGTAGGTAACACTCTGACCCTCCTAAATGGGGTCGGAGTAGTTGGGGTGGGAGGATCGCGCCGCACCGCTGATGCATCGACGATGCCGCTCGATGCGGAGTCTGATTTGCTTCACGTCGACGTCGCCGATGCATCGCCGACGTCGACGATGCGTCGCCGTTGCATCGCCGATGCATCGCCGTGAAGGCTGCTCTGGAGGCCGCAGGGGCCTGCACGAGCACTGTCCAGTTCTCACACGGCAGTGACGATCATGTCTCCGCCTCGGGCCCGCGCGTGGGGAGAATGTGGAAGAGGGACGCGACAGCGCGGCTACCCGAGAGGGCAGGGGGAAGAGCAAAACATATGAGGATGCACAGAAGTGTTATCATAGTGAGGGGCCAGACGGTCTTACAGCATCACTGGGTGCGTGGGTGAAGTGGGATTCCGTGGTTCAAATTGTGATTGTTCGTTGTTCGTTCCCCAAACAATGCTTGCACTTAGGGGTTTGTATTTTGTCTGAAGACTGGGCCTGCCTGTCGGTATGCCGGCTATGTGGTCGCCGTCGCCGCCCCGTCGCCGCCTCGTCGCCGTCTTCTGGGCCTGCCCGTTGGTCTGGCGGCCATGTGGTCGCGGTCGCCGCCCCTGTCGCTCTGGGCCTGCCCGTCGGCCTGGCGGCTATGTGGTCGCCGTCTCCATCCCGCTGCCGCCTGGGCCTGCGTTACTTTACACTGCTTTGCGTTATTCCGCATTGCATTCAATTGACTTGCATTGCTTTCTTCTCGTTTCTGTGCGTTGCCGTGCATTGCTTCGCACTGCTTGGCATCGCTCTGCGTAGTTTTGCGCTGCTTTGCGTGTTGCGTTGCATTGCTCTGCCACACGTTGCACTGCCTTGTCGCCCGCCGCCACCAGGCAGACTGCACCACGCAGAGCCAGGAACCGGGACCACAAGCGGCAGAACCGGGCGGGCGGGTCGGGCGGGCGGACCCAATCGGGCGGGCCAGGTGGGCGGGTGCAGGCGGCCGGGCCGAGCGGGCGGGTCGCCGAAGCATCGATCCCGCACGGGTCGCGGGGAGGTCTCGAGCGACAGCGCGGAACGCAAGACACGAATCTGAAGGAAGTCCAAAGCGAAAGCATGATTCCTGAGTTTCGAGGCGCAGCGTTTCAATTGATTGCGATGAAGCCCCACGCGCGATCGCGATTCCTGCGTTAATTGTGAGGAAGCCCGCGCGAGAGCGCGATTCGGAATAAGTTGTGGCGTAGTATCAGGCGGGAGCAGCTACTGTTGTAAACCAAGGGCCAGCAGCACAATCTGAGGCTCAATACTTCAACTGTGAAAAAACAGGGTGCGAGCTCTGGGAAGGGCATTTGAATTCAAAAAACAATGTGCACCAGAGGGTGCAATCAACAACAACAGCTCATTAGAAATGAGAATGCGACTCATTGTAAAGCTGCTCGCTCTTATCATTCAGCATGCGTGTCTCAAGTCCTGGGTAATTACCCGCCCTCTTTGCGCTCTCTTCGGTAGGGGCATCACCGCAAATGCAGCTATGGGATAACTAGCCAGCTCCGCTATGTAGATGCCGTGGCAGAAGAGATGTAGCAGACGAGGGTGACGATGATGAACCACGGCCTTTGGCGCGTGCAAACGACACATCGCAATAGCAGACAATCCGTTCACACGACATCCCCAAAGTGGCTTGGAGGCTCAAGCCGAAACACGCTACGGAGGAGAGGGAGAGAGGAGGAGAAGCGGATGGACATCCAACGCAAGCCGCGGAAAACAAGGAAACTACGACGGAGGGGACTGTGGAAACTAGGAAACGGATGGGCAGTCAACGGAGGAGGGAAACACCGAGGTCGAAGCGGAGGGCAATCACCGGAGGAGGTGGTCACAGACGCGCGCGTCGAACTCCTTCCGCGGCTCAGCGCCGGCCCCGTCCCGCGCCCGCGGGTATACTCTCAGCCCGCCGGCGGCCAGCTCGCGCATGCTGAAAGGGCACGGGACGCTCTTCTCAACCTGGCTGGGCCGACGGGAGGGCGTGCGGAGCGAGGAGGGGGCAGAAGGGCGTGGGAGGGCAGCGCAGGAGAACGCCCTCGGGGCTGACTCCCCAGGGGCCCCCCCTCTCCAGGAAGGAGGGGGAGGGCGGGGGCAGACTCGAGGGGAGGGGAGGCAGCGGAGGGAAGGGGAGGGGAGGCAGCGGAGGGGAGCAGACTGAGGGGAGGCGAGGGGAAGGGGAAGGGAGGCAGCGGAGGGAAGCCCAGGGCTGTGGGGAAAGAGCGGGAGAAGGAGCAGGTGTGGCGGCGCGAGCCCAGCGCAGCGGCAACACCATCTCGACGCAATGATTCGCATGCGCGGCAGTCGCCGTGCAAAGATATGGTTGAGGCAGCACCCCCTCCTGGCACACCGAATGCCAATCGCGTGCCCGGCGACCGCGCTGGCTCCCAAAAGAGCTGCACGGCAGATGTGTCCCATGGAAGGTGCCGCGGAGCAGGTGAGCGCAGGTACGACCGCCTCGCCCGGGATCACGAGAGAATCGGACACCGATCTCCTCGACCCTGCCACACACCAGAAGCCGCAGCTGCTGCACTGTGGCGCTCGGCAGCGCTGCGCCCGAACGGACGCAGCGGCGCGCGAGGGCGCTGGCGAAGGTTGTTGGGGCTCCGTCGTATGTTGCCCTCCTCCACGCCTAACAGTCTCCACTCCGCGTCCGCCTCCCAGTCCTCATCCAACAGCCTCTCCTCCTCCTCCTCCACCTCCTCCTCCTCCTCCTTCTCCTCCTCTTCCTCCCCCTCCTCCTCCTCCTCCTCCTCCTCCATCTACAGCTCTCTCTGGCCTCCCCCTCGTCCTCACATACCTACATCCAAGCATCCAAGGCGCATGTGCCACTGGGTGCTCTTCCCAGGACAACAAGCGGGTTGCGACCCGGTCGTCGCCCCTTTTTGCCCGTTGGGGCCAGGGGGAGAGAAACTTGGGCCTCGTCGCAACGTTTTCCCACCCCTTGCGGTGGCCCACGAGGTACTCCATCTGGGCTCGGGCGGGTGGGGGGTCCTTGCGGGGGACTCATTGGAGGATCCACACCAATCCTTCCCACGACCAAGGTCCCCCGCCCTGGCGATCGTGGGGGCTTGCGGTCGCCAGAGGGAGTGGCGCCCCTCGGGTGGCGTTTCGGGGCGGCGCGGCCTGGTGCGCGCCGCAAGCGGCTCGAAAGACTGGCGTGGGTCCTCCGTGCCACTGCTCCCGACTGCGTCTCCAAGCCAGGGTCCCAGGTGCTTCGCCTGCACGTGATGCCCACATGTTTCGTCATTCGTGTGGTGTCTCGCCTGCCCTTGCCTGTCTCGCACGTGTGCTGGGCGGTGCTGACTCCACGTCGGCTCACTGGTCTTCCAGTCCACCGTGCTGCTTCCCGCTGCCGATGTTTCGCCGCGCCATCCCTCGAACAAGAAAAAAACCAGAACCATCAACTTTTGGCGCTCCGCACGAATTTCTTGAATCTGCGCTGGACCCCCCTCCCCGCGCGCCAGGGGCGCTGGAGACTCCGCCAGGGGGGCCCAGCGCGGATCCAACAAATTCGCGCGGAGCGTCAAAAGTTTATGCTTATGGCGTTTTCTCTTCCTCGAAACCGAGGCCTGCTGGGAGGAGGAGGAGGAGGAGGAGGAGGAGGAGGCGGAGAAGGAGAAGGAGGAGGAGGAGGACGAGGAAGAATCCCTGGCCTGTTGGGATGCCTCGGTGTCCAGCTGGCGCAACTCCGCTGCCTGCATGCCTCGGGCCCACAGCTGCTGGCTGCACACTGTGCTGCGCACGCCGCCCCGCCGTGCTTGCCCTGGGCCCTGGGTCCCTGCGGGCTGTTCTAAGGCTGGAGGAGGCTCCTCCTCCTCCTCCTCCCCTCCTCCTCCTCCTCCTCCTCCTCCTCCTCCTCCTCCTCCTCCTGCTCCTCCTCCTCCTCTTCCTCCTCCTTCGCCTCCCCCTCTCCCTCCTTCATTCCTTCTCCTTGTAAATAACTTCTCCCTGTCGCACCCCGAAGTAGTCTTAGAGCGGGCCGGGCGTTTCGCCTGAGACTTCCGCACCATCTATGACTCTGAAGCTACAGAATTTACAACAGCTTCACAAATGTAGGGCGGGCCGTTGTCAAAATATGGCTCTCGCCTTAGCGCGGCCGGCACACATTCCTTTCAAACGATTGCAAGAGTTTCACGGATTGGAAGCGGGTGGTTTTCAAAACGAGGCTCTCGCCATGGCACGGCGAACATTCGTTTTAAACATTTGCAAGAGGTTCACGGATCGAGAGCGGTTCCTTTTCAAATGGCTCTCGCCTTAGCGTCGCGCACATTCGTTTTCGAAATTCTCAGGAGTTACACAGACCCCATCATCAACGTACCAGAGATGGTTTTGGAAGGATTCCGGATTATGCGGGCGCAACAGTTTGGTTAATTCTCTATGTTGAAGTCCTCGGAATGGCGTTCTGGCACGATTCGGGATCGTCAAGACGCAACAGTCAGGATGATCCGTGGCGTTGGAATACCGAGAAAAAAGTTGTGGCATGCTTCAGGATCTTCAAATGGGTGTCTTCCAACGAGGCAGTTCCCTCAATGGAAATGAACCGTTGTAGGGGCCTATGAAGAGGGAGATAGGAGAGGGGGGTTACTACTCCAACATGGTTGATGACTCTTGGGTTTACGCTGGTCCTCCTCTTCCTCCTCCTCCTCCCTTCCCTCCTCCCCCTCCTCCTCCTCCCCCTTCCCCTCCTCCTTCTCCTCCTCCTCCTGCTACTCCTCCTCCTCCTCCTCCTCCTCCTCCTCCTCCTCCTCCTCCTCCTCCTCCCTCTCCTCCCTCCTCCTCCCTCCTCCTCCTCTCCTCCTCCCTCCTCCTCATCCTCCCCCTCTCCCTCCCCCTCCTCCTCCTCCTCCTCCCTGGTCCCTGCGGGCTTCATTCCGTTCGCTGCTTTTGTTTGCCGCTTGCGGGTGCTGCTTCTGGAGCTTTCGCCTCAGCCGGGACGCACAGGGAGATATCAGTAATTGTCATCCTTGGAGGCGCGCGTCCGTCTCGAACATCTAGTACACCAATCTTGTAGTGCATCGTTTCCCGATCGGTGTGGCCAGAAAGCGCCCGCCACGACGCATATACTATTAGATCTCTCGGTGCGCGCGTCGCCCAAAGGAGGGCGACGCACACAGAGTACTAAGCTGTTGGGGTGACGCCGATCACCCATCTTCCCGCTCGTATGCAAATGCGGTGGGCTGGTGGAGGCCTGCGTGCGTGTTGGCGTGGCTGAGTCCAAAAACATACATACATATTGTCAACGTCATGGTGCGAATCTCCTGCACGGCGTCTTACCCACCGCGATGGTAGCAGCGAACATGCGGTCTGTACGACATCCATCGAGCAAACCGTTACCATACTGTACCACTCCTCAAGGAGGACATGGCAAACTCAACGGCAAGGTTTTGGCTGACTGGGGGGAAGTTCTTCAGAGACTCCCCACGCCGATGGCGATTGGCACGTCAGCTCGGCATGCCAACTCGGTTCCTCAACTCGCATTGTTACGTAAACTCGGTACGTCAACTCGGTGTGTCGCATGGGTTCGTCAACTCGAGGTGTCAATCGGGCACAGACGCGCACGGGACAAGATCGTCCGCCATAGCCACATAACTGCTGTCGCTCATGGGATGGTGCTGGACGTGTGCACGAATGGGATCGCGCAGTGAGGATGGAGGCGGCACGCTCGCCAGGCTGTTAGAGGCTTGCCGGGAACGTGCCACAGAGAGCGGAGTAACGGTGCTACGACGACTGCGTGCAGGGCTACCACCCAAGGCGGGCCAGATATGGCCAAACGACTAAAGTCCGCCTAACGGAAGACGTTTCCCCAGGGTCCCAGCAGCCAAGCGTGATGCAGGACGCCACCGACAATATTCTCTCACAGGGGCGCGTCGCCGCTGGCTTCCCACACCATCCGGCCATCGGCCCCCTTGCGACGGATCTCGCAAACAGCGCGTCCCACTCGGGAACCTCACGCGCGAGCCGGGCGGTGGGCGCTGCCGGAGTCTGGCCGCCTGGGCCAGGACCCGTGCGGATTGCACTGCTTACCGCAAGATGTGGCCCCAGCGTGGCGGCTCCCGCTGGCGTCTCGACGGCAGGATGTGGCCCCCGCGTGGCGGCTCCCGCTGGCGTCTCGACGGCAGGATGTGGCCCCCGCGTGGCGGCTGCTGCTGCTCTGCGGCAGAGAACGTGGCCCCCACGCGGAGGCTCCTGCCGCGACCCTGGGCGGTGCAGGGCCTCTCGCTCTCCGCGAGCGGCCCCTGCGGCGCTCGCACGGCACGCCTTGCCTTTTGCCCATGGGTGGGGCAGTCGTGTGCACAAGGCGGCGATTGGGGGGGGGGGAAGCGAGGAGGAGAAGGCCTTCTCAGAAGGCTCGGAAGTCCCCCGGCCTTCTGGGAAGTCTTCGGAGCCTCTCCCGAGGCCAGAAGAGCACTGCTGGGAAGGCGTGAGAGGGCTTCTGAGAAGTCCCGCCGCCCTCTGAGAAGGCCTTCACCTTCTCTGGGGAAACCAAAAGGTACCGATACCGCCACTCCCCGGACCTCTCCTGGGGCGCGTTCTGACTAGGATTCCGAGGCGCATCCAGCGGTGGCGACGAGGACCTCCCAGGAGACCCAAAAAGGGGAAAACGACGGAAGGACAAAGGTATGTAGAAGCCTCTTAGATGGGTTCGGAGTAGATGGGGTCGGAGGATCGCGCCGCATCGCAGATACATCGGCGATGCATCGGTGATGCATCGGCGATGCATCGGCGATGCATCGGCGATGCACCAACGATGCATCGTCGACGTCGGCGGTGCATCGGCGACGCAGGCGTGAAGCAAATCGGGCTCCGCATCGATCCGCGCTGGCGATGCATCGGCGATGCGGCGCGATCCTCCGACCCCATCCACTCGGACCCCATATTTGACTACCTACCAGACCAGCCCAACCCAACCCGAAGACCCGAATTTGACCCGAATTTCGGGTTGGGGGGGGTACGGATACCATGTGTTTTGTCAACGTTCCCCGACCCCCCCCCACCGGAAATGGGAAGGCAAAGTGAGGGCTTCGGGTTGGGTCGGGGTGGCTTGGTGGGTGGTGAATGTGGGAGGCCTGGAGTATTGCAAAAAAAACCCTCCTCACGTCGTCCCTCTCGCCCGCCGGATTGCAAAAAAAACATGTTTTTTTGCAATCCCGCGGGTTTTTTTGCAATCCTGGTTTTTGTTGCCATCACCTGTTCAGTCTCCCCTCCTCGCGTCGTCCCCCTCGCCCGCCGCCGAGTGGAGGGCCCCGCTCCGCCGGGGAGGCCCTCCCTGCCGCCCCGAGCGAGCGCCGGGCGGACGGGCGCCCGGACGCTCTCTCGGCGCTGCGGTTAGGTCGGGCATGTCCCCCCTACAGTTAGGTCGGGCATGTCCCCCTACAGAAGGGTTCTGGACGAAAACTCAAAACTGAAAAAAAATCCCCTAAACAATCAAGAACATTCGGAACAATCGTCCCCAGGCTATTTCTTTTTACTATTTTTGAATGGTCCTCCTGTAGAGGGACACGCCCGACTCAACCCTACAGGCGGATCTTGGACGAAAACTTGAAAAGATTCCAAAGATAATCCAACAGGGTCAAAAATAGTGAAAACTAATCCCCTGACTATTTTCTGTTTTTTTTTTTTTGTAGATTCCTCCTGTAGAGGGACAGCTGTAGAGGGACATGCCCGACTTACCGCTGCGGCGCCCTGCCCGGTGGCGGGCGCGGGGGGGTGCGGCGGCCCTGGCGATCACCCCCGAGGCTCCTCGATCCTCGATCCTCGATCCTGCTCCTCGATCCTCGATCCTCAATTCTGCTCCTCGATGCTCGATCCTGCCCCCCCCCCACCCCCCTGCGTTTGTGGATGCCACGACAATGGACACCCTAACAGTTCGATCTTTGAATTTAGCATGTTTTTAACATGTAGGGAAATGTTATAACCATGCCTGACATATGTGCAAAACATGTTCAACCTATGTTTTAGAGATCTGGAAATTATTTGGCAACATGCGTCCTCTCCATTAAGGTCCTCCACAAGAGTGGTGGAGGAATCAGGGAGCCAACTCTGCCCGAGAGCCTGATGGTGAAGAGGATAGAGGGATCCTCCTCTGAGGCAACGGGAACCTCAGCGTCAACACCTGAGTCATTCAACAATTGAGCCAACAGGGAAGCGGATGAGGAGACGAAGGAGAGAGAAGGTACCCACAAACACACACACGCACACACCCTCCGCCCCCTCCTCCCGCTCCTCCCTCTTTGGCTCTTCCCCCCACCCCCAGGGAAACAAAACAATACCGATACCGCTGATACTTGGACCTGTCCCAGGGTACGTTTTGACCAGATTTGCGAGGCGAATCCAGCAAGAGGTGCCGGGGGCCCCCCATGAGGCCGAAAAAGGCGAGAACGAGGCACAGGCATCGGTATCCGTAACTGTTCTATGGGGAACAAAGAATGACATAAACATGAAAACTCTGAGGTTCGCGCGGGTTTCTCGGATCGGCGCTGGACCCCCCTCCCTGGCAAGCGGGCAAGCGGAGCGCGCCAGGGGCGGCGCCGGAGGCGCCGCCAGAGGGGAGTCCAGCGCCGATCCGAGAAACCCGCGCGGACCTCTGAGCTTTTACGTTTCTGTCATTGTTCGTTCCCCCATTTTCCTCTCCTCTGACCCTCCTCCCCCCCCCCTCCCCGCCCCCAGTCCCTTTCCCGACTGCCCCCCCCGCTGCCCAGCGGCGTCCTGCAGCGCCGCGGCCTCCAGCCTCGCCCTCAGCAGCGCTGGCAGCGCCCACTCGGCGGCCGCACCGGTCGGGGCCAGCGGCTCGAAGCCGGCGGCGGCGCCGCACGTGCGCAGGGCCTCGAGACGGCCCGCGCCCCACCCGGTCCGCGGACGCCGGAGCGACCGCGGAGACGAGCCCTTGCGAGGCGTGCAGAGGGATGCGGGGGGAGGGGAGGGCGTAAAGCTGTGGATGCCACGACAATGGGCACCCTGACAGTCCTATCATTGGATTTGGAATGTGTTTAAGATGTCGGAAGATGTTCTAAACATGCTTCAACCTGTGTGTTTAACATGTTTAAAACATGTTCAACACATGTTTTAGACATCTGGCAATTATTTGGCAACATGCTTCCTCTCCATTGATCGTCCTCCACAAGCGTGGAGGGAGGCGGGGGGGGGGGGAACAGGGAGCGGCGGAGCAGCAGCCAAGCACCATGAGGCGTTTTGCTGTAGGGGGTCTCGGGGGCAGGTTCCCCGTCGAGATGGAGATCCCTGGGGTGCCACAGGGCTTCTGTGGGGCCCCAAGGCCATTGGGGGATACGATCTTTTGTGGAGGGCCTGCTGGCAGGCCAATTTCTTATGCAACGTGCCTACCGCAAGAGAAGCAGGAGGGGGGTGGGAAGGGACAGGGAAAGGGAGCAGGGGGTAGGAGGGAAGGAGGAAGGGAGGGAGAGGAGTGGCGAGTGGCAGAGGGGAGGAGGGGAAAGGGAGGAAGGGAGGAAGGGAGGAGGGATGGGGGGGAAAGGGGGGGCAGAGCTGCAAGAGGGGGAGAGGGGCCAAGGGCGGAGGAGGGTGGAGGAGGGAGGAGGGGGGGGAGAGGACGGAGAGGGCGATGGGAGAGGGGGCCCAGAAGGAAGCAGGGGAGCGCGAAGGGCGCGGCTGTGGAGGAGGTGCGGAGGCAAGGCAAGGCCAGGCGCCGATGTTCGCCCGGGGGGGGGGGGGGGGAGGCGGCCGTCTAAGAGCTCGGCGGGGGCGCCAGAGCGCAACAAAAAAAACTCAGACGCCGCAGCACACGGTTGCTCCGGAATCCGGAACTCGCGTCGCTGACCCCATGGAACTAATCCCTCCCATCAATGTGGAGAGATGGAGGTCCCGAGGTCCCCTTGCTCCTCCCTCCTCCCCCTCCTCCCTCTTGCCGGCCACGGCTCGCGGCTGGCCGCTGCGGGCGGGACGATCTGGTTGTTCTCGGCAGACGGCTGGACGGTGAAGGCAACCTCTGCGCCCGCGGCCCCAGCAGTGTGAATGCCACGACAATGGGCACCCTAACAGTCCTGTCATTGTATTTTGAGTGTGTTGGAAATGTAGGAGAGATGGTCTAAACATGTTTTAAACATGTGTGCAGCATGTTTCAAACATGTTTAAGTCATGTTTTAGACATCTGGAAAGTCGTTGGCAACACGCTTCCTCTCCATTGATCGTCCTCCACAATCCAAGCAGAAAGAAGGAAGGAGTGGGGCAGCGCTTCCGCGGGCGAAGGGCTGTACGTAGCACCCTGCACTCACGGAGAAGAGTGAAGGGGCGGGAACTACGACCCCCAAAGATATTGCCCCCCTTGCACTGTCCCCGAGTGCTGCCCCCATGAATTGCCCCCATGTGTTGCCCCCCATGTGCTGCCTCCAAGTGTCGCCCCAGATGAAACTATTGCCCACAGGGGCAAACATTGAACTCAAACTTCTTTTCCAATAAGCAATCATCACTGTTTGGAAGCAGGAGGGGTGTTGATTCTTGAAGATAGAGGTGTCATTGCCATGCACTCCCCCCGCGCATTGCCCCCCAAAGTATCGCCCCACGGGGCCAGGCCCTCCACTCAGCCACGCGCGCGCAAGGCAGGGACGAAGTACGACCGCTACGGCCCCCCAGCACTCTGATTAAATGACTTGTTCCACCGGCGAGGACGCCTATGTGAGGGCGGCTGGAAAGTTTATACCCTGCGGCGGCAGGAGGTGGTACAGAAACTTTCCATGTCGCCCTGGGGCAGGCGTCAGGGATCGCGGAACGAAGATGTCTCATACCGCTGGTCTGAGGAGACGTGGACCCGCGCGAGAACTGCCATGGAGAAAGACGAGGAGGAGGAGGATAAGGACGACGAGGAAGAGGAGGAGGAGGAGGAGGAGGAGACGAGGAGGAGGAGAGAGAGACGAGGAGGAGGAGAAGAAGGATGATGATGATGATGATGATGATGAGGAGGAGGAGGAGGAGGAGGAGGAGGAGGAGGAGGAGGAGCTCATCGCAAACGCCGACCACGGTGGAAGTCAAAGGATGACAGCTGGGCGCCCTCCAGCATGGACTAGGGGGCCCGTGGATCTGGCGGCGCGGGCGCCAGATCCACGGATGGGGGGCGAGTGCCCACGAAACACGAGGGCAACACCACCTCACAGGGCTGGACCTAAACGTTGTTTTTCGTGTTGTTTTCATGTCGCTAGTCGTTTTGCTCTACCTGCTTTCCTGTACATCCCTGCCAACAGCGAAACACAAAGCACAGCCGAAGTCCAGCAAAACAGCGCTGAGGTCCAGCTCTGCCACCTCATTTGGCGACGGAGCGCGCCGATTCAGCACGGGAAAGGGGGCCCGTCGCCCACCCACGCGTCTCCATCCATGTTCGCGCTTCCTCGAGACGCGGCTGCGTCACCCTGACCTACTCCTCGCTGCGTGGCGAATCTCTCCCCTCTGGACCCCTGCACCAGGTCCAGGAGATCCCTCCCTGGGGGGGAGAGGAGGAGCAATGAGGGGGTCCAAGAGGTGCGTAAGGGCAAGGCAAGCGGCAAGGCTTCGCCGCGACATGGGTCACAAGGAAGCGGGGCAGTGGGCAGGGCGTGAGCGAGCGAGGCAGGCCCCGCTCCCGGCACATGCGGCGAGGCGCGTGCGGCTGTGCCCTTGCTGGGGCAAGGCGCGCGAGGCCGTGGCCTCTCAAAAGACTCGCAGAAGTCCCAGGAAACTGCACAAACATTAACTTTTCGACCGTCAGCGCGGAGGTCTTGGATCTGCGCTGCAACCCCCCCTGGCGCGCGGCGCCGGAGGCGCCGCCAGGGGTGGGCCCAGCGCGGATCCGAGAAATCCGAGCGGGACACCGAATGTGCATGCTTATGCAGATTGCTCTTCTTCGGAAAATCATGCCGACATGAGGCCCACCACGGTCGCGCTTGTGTCCGCAGCCATGTGGAGTCATATCTTCATCTATATATATATATATATGTACATATGGACAGCCCCCCCCAACACCCACTCTACGCCTTCTCCCTCTTCCGCGAAGCTGGAGACGCATCCTCTTCTCATCATCCCTGCTCCTTTCCGTTCCTCTTCCCGGGTCACGTGTTGCAAGCGGAATGTTTTTTCCTAACGCAACCTCAGAAGATGCAAGCGTCCGCTTCCCCCGCCTTTGGGAGAACAGGTATAAGATATCAGCGGCAGCGCTAACAAGAACGATAAACGAACCATATGATTTCTCAGGCATTCCAGGGATGCACAGGGATGCTAAGTGACGATCGCTGTGCAGGCTCAGGGATCCCAGGGATTCCAGGGATGCGAAGTCACGATCCCTGAGCAGGCTCAGGGACCCCAGGGCTTCCAGGGATGCGAAGTCACGATCCCTGTGCAGGCTCAGGGATCCCAGGGATCCCAGGGATTCCTAACCCTCCAGCAAAACCGACCTGGGGATCCACCAGCGATCCCGCGCTCAGAATCCCTGGGATCCCTGAGCCTGCTCAGGGATCGCGACGTCGGTTGTCAGCAAACCATATGATTTCTCAGGGATCCCAGGGATTCCAAGGATGGCAAGTCACGATCCCTGAGCAGGCTCAGGGATCCCAGGGATTCCAGGGATGCGAAGTCACGATCCCTGTGCAGGCTCAGGGGTCCCAGGGATCCCAGGGATTCCTAATCCTCCAGCAAAACCGACCTGGGGATCCACCAGCGATCCCGCGCTCAGAATCCCTGGGATCCCTGAGCCTGCTCAGGGATCGCGACGTCGGTGGTCAGCAAACCATATGATGTCTCAGGGATCCCAGGGATTCCAGGGATGCCAAGTCACGATCCCTGAGCAGGCTCAGGGATCCCAGGGATTCCAGGGATGCGAAGTCACGATCCCTGTGCAGGCTCAGGGATCCCAGGGATCCCAGGGATTCCTAATCCTCCAGCAAAACCGACCTGGGGATCCACCAGCGATCCCGCGCTCAGAATCCCTGGGATCCCTGAGCCCGCACAGGGATCGCGACGTCGGTTGTCAGCAAACCATATGATGTCTCAGGGATCCCAGGGATTCCAGGGATGCGAAGTCACGATCCCTGAGCAGGCTCAGGGATCCCAGGGATTCCAGGGATGCGAAGTCACGATCCCTGTGCAGGCTCAGGGATCCCAGGGACCCCAGGGATTCCCAACCCCCCAAATCTTTGCGAAGTCGCCAGGCCGATTTTGCTGGAGGGTCAGGAATCCCTGGGATCCCTGGGATCCCTGAGCCTGCACAGGGATGGTGACGTCGCATCCCTGGAATCCCTGGGATCCCTGAGCCTGCTCAGGGATCGTGACTTGGCATCCCTGGAATCCCTGGGATCCCTGAGACATCATATGGTTTGCTGACCACCGACGTCGCGATCCCTGAGCAGGCTCAGGGATCCCAGGGATTCTGAGCGCGGGATCGCTGGTGGATCCCCAGGTCGGTTTTGCTGGAGGATTAGGAATCCCTGGGATCCCTGGGATCCCTGAGCCTGCACAGGGATCGTGACTTCGCATCCCTGGAATCCCTGGGATCCCTGAGCCTGCTCAGGGATCGTGACTTGCCATCCTTGGAATCCCTGGGATCCCTGAGAAATCATATGGTTTGCTGACAACCGACGTCGCGATCCCTGAGCAGGCTCAGGGATCCCAGGGATTCTGAGCGCGGGATCGCTGGTGGATCCCCAGGTCGGTTTTGCTGGAGGGTTAGGAATCCCTGGGATCCCTGGGATCCCTGAGCCTGCACAGGGATCGTGACTTCGCATCCCTGGAAGCCCTGGGGTCCCTGAGCCTGCTCAGGGATCGTGACTTCGCATCCCTGGAATCCCTGGGATCCCTGAGCCTGCACAGCGATCGTCACTTAGCATCCCTGTGCATCCCTGGAATGCCTGAGAAATCATATGGTTCGCTTATCGTTCTTGTTAGCGCTGCCGCTGATATATTATACCTGTTCTCCCAAAGGCGGGGGAAGCGGACGCTTGCATCTTCTGAGGTTGAGGAGGAGGAGGGGGAGGAGGAGGAGGAGGAGGAGGAGGAGGAGGAGGATGGACGAGGTGAAAGAGGGGAAGGAGATGCAGGATCAAGTGGTTGGCTCCCCAGATGACGTTCATTATTCGATGCCGCCGTCTCAGGGCGAGAACCGAATCTGGCAGTAAAGAAAATGCGAGTGCGATCAGCGCGAACCGCGATGAAAATCAGTGGGTGCTGGGGGGGGGGCTGCGCATACATATGTATATGTATATGTATATGTATATGTATATGTATATGTATATGTATATGTATATGTAAATGTAAATGTAAATGTAAATGTAAATGTATATGTATATGTATATGTATATGTATATGTATATGTATATGTATATGTATATGTATATGTATATGTATATGTATATGTATGTGTATGTGTATGTGTATGAATCTATACACATGGGTAAACATAATTGTACGATCATAACGAATACCAATATACATACAACGCTGATCCGGCCAGACCTTTTTCCCGCTGGGGGCCGCTGGGTCCCGAGCGCGCCTGGGGGGCCCAAGACGGCTCCAGATGGCTTCCAGAGGGCCCCAAGCTGGGCCATCAGGGCCACGAGTCGCCCACGCGGCCCCCAGACAGTCTCAGGGGCCACCTTCTCGCCACAAGACACCCCGGCCTCCCCAAGGAGCCCCAAGAGGCCAACATCGCCAAATTCCCTTTGCAAGACATACATTTAAGCATCAACAACATCTCGCCTTCCCAGCGCTCCCAGACGGCCCACGACGCCCCCCAAATCGCCCCGAAACAGCCCGAGAGGCACTGAAGAGGCCCCCGCGACGGCCCCACGCCGGCCCAAGAGGCGCCCAAGACGGCCATTGGCCCAAGGAGGCCCAAGAACGGCCCCCGAGAGGCACCAAGGACCCCCACGGAGGCGCCCAACAGGCCCTAGCTCCCCAAGGGGCCCTCCAAAAGGCCCCAGAGGACGCCAAAACAGCCCCCAAGAGGCGTCAAAACTGCTTCCGACAA